CACAACGAACGTCTTTAAATGGGCCATGGACAGATTTCGAAAACAAGGGTCTTGACATTAATTCGATCGACTAAGCCCTGCGCGTCCGACTTTATTTTCAGAAATGAGTAGTACGGTTTATGCATTGTAGTTGTTCCATTCCCCAAAGTATCTGTCTTCCGTTGTTAAATTATGTAAATATGAGGCGTTGAACGAAAAAAAAATTAATCATAATAATACGAGAATTTAAATAATTCTTGTCTTACAAAAATAAATATTCATTGATTAGTGATTCTGAAACGTCTTAAAATTCCGTAATCCAATTAAAAGATGACATCAATGTACATTAACATAATATACCTACTATTCTTTTCTCATAAAACTSGTAACATTCGTGTGTTACAAAAAAATTTGTATTATTATTCATTTAAAACGATATAATTAATACGATARTGTAAATAAGAAAAAATGCGCAGATAAGAGACTACCTATATAGGTAATAACAGTAATTTTAGAGCCTTTTTTACAACATCTCGATATTATTATTTATTTCACGCCAAAGATTTATTTCAGACCTCCCATATGTAACGTCAAGCGGATTATCGAGGAAATCRCAAACTCCTCGACATTTCTTGGGATTAAGAAAATTTGAAAAGCCAAACGGATTTCGTGTACGTGAAAGTGTATGGATCTATACCTAAATTGTTAACTGTATATAGGTACACACATTGAAATTGCGCATTTTATGACATGTTCCGGAGTTGTAGTCGCTGAGACATGAACTTCACGCGAGCGTTGTAAAAAAAAAAAGGAATAAAACCGCAACAATAACCATTAAAATAATAAATACGATCGGAAGTCGAAAATCAAAGACGTTTAAAATGCCAATAATAATAATAATAATAATAATACACTATGTATGAAGCTTGGAATCGCCATAAGACTTAAACGCATTATTATTATTCTTAAACCGTACATCTGTGTATGCCTATTACCTACCCACCACCCACGTATTAAATMAAAAAAGTGATTTCCATCAAATTTATACAATATTATATGTCTAAAATTTGAGATAATCGATTGTTAGACCGATATTTTTGATCAAACAGTTATACCGCCGTTATGGTCAGGTTACTTGGACATCATAAATACAACATATTAATACAACTACAAAGGATATCATTAGGACATATAGGATTTTTAATATTTATTAATAGTGTATCGCTTGAAAAAACTTAAACAATTTGTACTAAAGTTTTACAATTYTCATGAACCAATGTGGACGCTAATATCACTTGTTTTAAAATTCAGACGTCCTATAAACGACTTAACAAATATAATATATATAGTGTTACAATAAATTTTTTTCTCGTTGGCAGCGGTATAACCTAACTTTAACCTTAAAGTAAAACTTGGCGGATTATTGTTGGTCGGCGACCGTCGTCGATGCCATAAAGCCCGGTTGGTACAATAGTAGGTGCATTATAATATTATTATTAGTAGTACACAGTCTGTCTTTATAATGGCACTTCGAGTTCGTAAATTCCGTCGTTGTATTATATTAATAAAATGAMGTAGAAACCATTGTTTTCATTAACAGCGCTAATCTCGAAAACCACATTTACCGCGCGCCACCGATATATTTATATTAAATTTTAACTTCAGTCACCGCGCCGGATGCTAATTTCGTTCTAATCGATGGCATGCGCGGTGTAAACTTCGTCCCAGAGACACGGCCATAAGGAATTAATTATTATAAACGAGAATTACTGTTGGCGACCGACGGTGGATGTTGTACAATTATAATATTATCGCCATTTGGTGATAATTCCGAATTCGGCGTTAGCCACGCATCATTATATTATTATTATGGTATATACTTGAGAGTTGGGACCTAGCTAGGTCACTAGGAAGGTATCTACAGACTACAATATTATACAGCGTCGTTAAACTATTTTGTGGTTTGCAATACCGCAGAATCTGTAATCGAAATTAATTAATGGGGTACCGTCCGTTTTACCTCAGCTCCAGATTAACCAACTAAAATACTTTCATATAAGTACAAACATCACAGCATAAAAAAATACAAAAAATACAAAAACGTTTAACGAATAATAATTATTCAAACATTGAAAAATTTCGATTTTAGTTCCAAAATTTTCATTTATAGTTTCAGATCTAGAATAACGTTTTTATTAAAACCATAAAATGACCCCAAATAGTGTAATAAWAACTTTATTTAAATATTATTCTTTAAATATATCACGTTTCGATAAAATGTGATACATATAATTTGAGCAAGATTCGTGAATAGCAATTTTTTTTTT